AGGCCCTTGACGGTCTATCGATTCGCATCCACGGCAGGATCACGGGGCCGTTTATGGAGGACTCGGAGGCCAGGGCGTTCCTGGATGGGATAGCGAAGATGAACCCAATGGGACGTTCCGCCGAGCCGCACGAATTTCGCGGGGTCGTCGCGTGGCTGGCGAGCGACGCGAGCTCTTTCTGCACCGGGAGCGAGTGCGTAACATCGTCTACGGCTCTGCCAGTGCGACGTCATCCTCATTCTTTGTCCAGCGTCCGGCTCGACGGAGGTCATGTCGCGTGGTGAGGGAGATGTTCCGTCTAACGCCGGTCGGCTCGGACTCCGCGTCAGTATTCAGACCGCTGCGAACGCACCTTGGGATTATAGACGGAGTCCGGACGGGGTTCCCTGCAGCTTGACATGTAGTGTGTAATTGTACGGTGATCAGGGTTCGATTGCGAACGTCACGTCGAATGGTCGACTGCGACAACTTATGTTGCGGTTATGCGTCAGAGCCCCAACGCAACCCTGTGGCTCCCAACTTCACAGCGACGGGCGCAGGTGCGAACCATCGTGAGGCTTGGCAGGTGGGTACGTACGCAGTGTGTACTATGCTTCCCCAGGACCCGCGCTTCTTCTGCTAATACCGTGCAAAGGTGACACAAGTCCGTGAGGCTGAGTCAGGGTAGCGAGTGCGTGTCCGCGCCGTCGACTAGATGATACGAGCTTGCTGACGTCCCGCCCGAGTTATGTTTCCATTGCAAGATAGATCATCGTGGTCGGACTCAGCATCTTGCTTTATAGGGAGTTCGAGGCACCTCTTCGACTCTGCCGCACGAGGCCAGTGTGGAAGATCACCTGTTCGCAAGGAGCTGATAGCCATCCTCGTAAGTACAAGCCCTCCGTCTCTCCGACGTCCTGCCGGACCTCGCGAACCTATTTCCTATTGTCCAAGTCGCGCTTCTGCTGCGTAACTATATAGCCTCTCCTCGATACTCGCATAGCGGCCATCTTCCTCCTTCCGACCACTGCGCCATGCTTCCACAAATCCGGAGGCTAAACCTTCTGTCTCTCTCACCGCGCACCTGATTCGCTCGCTTCTCGCAAGGCGCCCTTGCTTCCTCGAGTAAGCACACGCTCACGAACACGTTCATGTGCAGGACGTCGCGGCCGGTACCTACATGCTCTTCCTGTGCGATACTATCAGTCGCACCTGATCGCCCCGTGGGACCTTGAATACTCGATGTGCGAGACGAGGCGACCCTGCGGCTGCTCTTGCGGCGAAGGCGCTTCCTGGAACGTATACATATATCAGATATCTGCATGAGGCATCTCCAAGGGACCTCCCACTCATCTCGCGACCCCTTCACGGATCGAAGCGTACTACTGAGACCGCTCACGTCTTCTGGCTGGCGTTTCTCGGCGTACGGCGTACGACAGTTTTCGACTCGCACTCACACTTCTCGTCCGGCACCATCATGGCCATGACAGCCCATGCAATGAGGCGTGCTCTCCACAGGTGCACGACACATGCGAGGCCTGCTGGGATCCATCTCTCCAAGTTCTCCACAGCGCTTGTCGCAGCGAGTCAGCACAAGTCCGCGCCTGGAGGAGCAGTTCCAGACTCGGATAACTCCTTGGATTCCGGTACGCACCTCCGAGTGCTCTCGAACGAGACGGCATGCCGACAAGTACTGCCACAGACTTTACCCCAGATTTGCTCAAGGACCGCTTTTCCCTCGCAGACAGGGTCGCCCTCGTCACGGGAGCTAACAGCGGACTCGGATTGCAGAGCGTCCTGGCTCTCGTCGAATCGGGTGCGCGAGTTGTGTACTGCCTGGACCTCGCCGAGGCCCCTAGCCCTCGGTTATCCAAGGTGCAAGAGTATGTCTCCCGCATGCAAGGAGAGCATGCTCAGGCTGCAGGGAGCAGGATCGAGTACATCCGCGGCGACGTGCGGGATCAGGTGCGGCCGAGCCTAATTTACCTCGAGTATGCTGCTGATTCGGCTGGCTGACGTCGCGACGGTTTTCCTACCAGGAGAAGATGTGGAAAGTCGGCGAGATGATCGGGGACAGGGAGGGCCGTTTCGACGTTTGTCTCACCTCGGCCGGGATCTCCGGCCAGCCCGGGGGCTGTCTGAGAATGCCAGCGAGCGAAGTCCAAAAGGTGGATACTCGGCTGATCGGGTCTACAATGACAATGCATGCAAGAAGACGCGCGCTCACCTCAGCCTGTCTGCACGTCAGGTCCTGGACGTCAATCTGAAAGGCACGCTCTTCACCGCGCAAGCCGCGGGTCAGCAGATGGAGCGCTTCAAAAACGGTGGCAGCATAATGCTCATCGCGAGCATTGCCGGCCATGTCAACGTTCGCGTGAGTTCTCCCCTCTCAGATGACACTGGTGGAAGATTCGTCTGCTAATGCGGTAGCTTCGTCATAGCTAGGGACGATCCACTACGAGGCCACGAAAGGCGCCGTGCTCCAGATGGCGCGCACCATGGCCTGCGAGCTCGCAGAGAAGGGGATCCGGGTCAACTCCATCAGCCCCGGGTTCCACGATACTGAGTACGTACCTGATCCCTGGAACCTCTCTTAGATCCCGGACTGTCAGCTCGTATGCGTCCTTGTAGGCTGGCGGCACCCTTCAAGAGGGATGCTCCGGAGCTGATGGAAGCCCTAGCGAACATGAACCCGATGAAGCGTTTCGGCCAACCGCACGAGTTACGCGGGGTCGTCGCATGGCTCGCCAGCGACGCGAGCTCATTCTGCACGGGCAGCGAGTGCGTCTTTCCCTACCTGACTCGCGACCCTGTGGCGTTCGTATTGATTCAGTCTATTAGTATCCGAGTTGACGGGGGCTACGTCGCGTGGTGAATCACAACTCTTAAAGCAGCCGGGAAGTTCGAGGGAGGCGTTCATGAGTCGAGACTCGAGAGTCCCCATTCCAGTCCGAGACTTCGGATGCACCGATTCTGTAAGAAGTATGGTGAGTAGGCTTTTACCGTATACATCGCGGATGAGAGGTGGCGGCGACCTCCACAAGATAGGGGCATTTGCAACGCGAGTCTTTGTCTCCCGTGGTCCCAGCTTCGCAGAGAGTGGCCTGGGTGCGAACGTCGCACGCTCAGTCGGTGGGGGCCCCCGGCATCCTGAGACATGATGTCACATCTGTTCATAGGACCTGCACGTCTTCTACTCCGTTCCTGTAGGTCCAACACTCGTGACAGTCTGACAGTTCTCCATGACCATCCTCTCCTCGCTCATGAGCGAGCCTCGCACACGGCGGGGGCCCGTCTACCCGGCCACAGTCGGCCAGCCCAGGCATGTAATACATATAAATGAGCGCAGCCCACAAACTTGCTGCACCAGCCCCGGGCCTTGCGCACGCTCTTCTCGGCTGCTTCACTGTCCACAATGTTCGTTCGTGTTCCCGCTATGCGCGTCATATCTGCCCCCGCATCGGCCGCAGCGAGGCTAGGCCGTGCCCACTTCTCCAGCAGTACTCGCTCTGCAGCGTCTGCCAAAGGTCGCATGACCGGTGCGCCTCCCTACGGCCCGGTCGGCGTCGCCAAAGCTCTCGAAGCCTCTTCGTCCACTCGTACGTCTGCCGTATCGCGCTACGCTTCGATCTGTGAAAACTCACTTCACTACTTCGCGCCGCGACTCTGGTAGGCGTGACGCCCACGCTGTTCGAGCACGAGTTTTCGCTCGCGGACCGCGTCGCGCTCGTCACGGGTGCGAACCGCGGGATCGGGCTCGAGATGGCGTTGGCCCTCGCCGAGGCCGGCGCGCGCACCGTCTACTGCGTCGACCTCCCGAAGCACCCCGGGGAGGAGTTCGCGAAGGCGAAGGCGTACGTCGCTAAAATGGAAGGGAAGAAGGGCGAAGGCAAGATGGAGTACGTGAGCGCGGACGTGACCGACCAGGTGAGGCAGCGCGCCGTGCCGAGAGTGAGACTAGGCTCACTGTCCGGGTTTGCAGGAGGCCATGTGGAAGCTCGGAGAGGAGATTGGGAGCAAGGAGGGGCGGATGGACGTGTGCGTCGCCGCGGCGGGAATCCTCAAGGGTGACATGCCTTGCCTGGAGTATCCCGCGAAGCGATTCAACGAGGTACGCATCGAGCTCCAGCTCGCAGCTCGCAGTCCGCAGCGCTGATAAATGTGCCCCAGGTCCTCGCGGTGAACGTCAACGGGGTTCTGTACACGGCGCAAGCGGCTGGCCGCCAAATGGCCAAGTTCGACAACGGCGGAAGCATCATCATGATCGGAAGTATCAGCGGAAGTGGCGCGAACCAGGTGTGCCTGCACATCTCGACTGACCGTGTGCTCGTCCACATACTCACTGCGGGGCGTAGGGACACCCGTGGATATCCTACAACACGTCCAAGTCGGCCGTCCTGCAGATGGCGCGTAGCATGGCATGCGAGCTGGGCACGAAGAGGATCCGGGTGAACTCCATCAGCCCCGGGTACATCAACACCAGGTCAGCTGCACGCCCCATCAACGAGGAGATATACCCGTGCTGACCTTCGAATCACAGCATGACGGCACAGTTCTTGCAAAGCCGCCCTGAGCTGCTGGAGAAGTGGTCGAGCCACAACCCGATGGGCCGTATCGGGCGGCCGGACGAGCTGCGCGGGGTCACGGTCTGGCTCGCGAGCGACGCGAGCACGTTCTGCACGGGTAGCGAGTGAGTGTTGCGTCCACAGCGTCGAATGGGAGAATATGTGTACCGGGTACTGACTTGGCATCCACAGCATTGTCGTCAGCGGTGGGCACCACGCTTGGTGAAGAGGTTCCTTCCAAGGAACGACCCGACGGACAGAGCCTGTCTCTCAGGAGGCGGAAATGAGTGTAGTACCATCTCGTTTCTGTATCACATGCATGTAAGCTTGGGGCACGATTGTACGGTTAGTAAAGAGACTAGAAAAGTGTTTGGCCCACAAAAAATTCATGGACAGCTGGCCCTGGCCGGGTGGGCGGTTGTGTAGCGCTGGTGGTGGAGGAAGGGGAAAAAGGAAGGGCCTAACTGGGAATTGAACCCAGGACCACTCGCAATCGACGACTGCCCAAAGCGAGTATCATACTTCTAGACCATTAGGCCTTGTCTCGGCTTCTACTCTGCAGGTACATCTAGGGTTCGCTGGCTCCTCCTGAGCGAGCAAGTACCTCTCAACGTTTCTTGCATGGTATACCAGGGGAACCCATCTATCGCGACATTGTACAACACCAAGAGAGTACACTGATCACTGCAGAAATGCCAACGTACACTGCGTCTACACGCTCATCTTCATCGCGATCGGCGGGTGCGGGTCGTAGCCCTCCACGACAAAGTCCTCGCTCCTGAAGTCGTCGATATTCTCCACCTTGCGCGGCCACCTAAGCTTCGGGAACGGCCTCGGCTCGCGCTCGAGCTGCACCTTGAGCGCGTCAACGTGATCGCGATAGACGTGTGCGTCCCCGAGCTGGACGATGAGCTCGTGGGGCACGGTGTCGGTGACGTGCGCGACCATGCGAGTGAGGAGGGCGTACGAGGCAATGTTGAAGGGGATGCCGAGGCCGAGGTCGGCGGAGCGCTGGTACATGAGACAGGAGAGTTTGGGCTTTGCGGAGGGGTCGTCGGCGGGAGGGAGGTGAACGTAGAACTGGCACATCATGTGGCAAGGTGGGAGTGCCATCTGGGGTATATCTGCGGTCAAAGGTGAGTATGCGTTGGGCAGATAAGTGGATGGAGGACTTACCTGCGGGGTTCCACGCGCTGAGGATAATGCGACGGTCTGTGGGGTCGTGCTTGATTTTGCGGATGCACTCCTGCAGCTGGTCGACGCCCTTTCCAGTGTAGTCGGCGTCGCAGTCCTCATACTTCGCGCCAAAGTGCCTCCACTGGAAGCCGTACACGGGGCCAAGGTCGCCCTCTCGCCTGTGCCCTAGGCCGCGCTTCTCGAGGAACTGCTTCGAGCCGTTCCCGTCCCAGATCTTGACGCCCTTTGCAGAGAGCTGCTTCGCGTCGGTGCATCCGCGCACAAACCAGAGGAGCTCCTCGATGATGCCGCGGAGGAAGGTGCGCTTGGTGGTGAGGAGGGGGAGGGTATCGTCTGCGAGGGAGAAGCGGAGGTTCGGGGGCGCAAAGAGGGAGAGGGTGCCAGTGCCGGTGCGGTCTGGGCGGACTGCGCCGGTGTCGAGGACTGTGCGGATGAGGTCGAGGTACTGCTGCTCGTCGTGCGGACGCGGGTCGGACTGGGGCTGGGCCGGGTGCGGGATGGCCATGGCGGTAGCGGGCAAGAGGGACGCGTTGTTTGGGCGTGTTGACGCGATCCCTTGAGAGAGCCTGCACGGTCACGTGGGGAGACGCGTGTGCGGATGGTTCGCTTCCTGAGCCACGCTCTCCTCGCCATCACCATCCTCCTCCTCCTCCTCCTCCTCGTCGGCTTCAGCGGCACCCTCCAGCTTCTCCTCTCTCGTACTTGCACACAGACCCGTGATGCCTCCTTCGACCAAGACACGTGCAGCCGCTGCCCGTACGACTCGCGTCCCCTCATCCACAAAGGCCTCCAAGCCAGTCTCGACCGTCTCCCCCGACGACCTTGCCGACAAGCTCGCCTCCAAACTCACCATCTCCGACACGAAAGGCAAAGGAAAGGCGATTGAGCTTACTCCCCAGCAGCGCAAGGCGAATGCCATGCGCGCTGTCAATACCGCCTCCAAGAGCCTCTCCACCATCCAAGAGTCAGGCTGGAAAGCCTCTGACGCAAAGTCGGACAAGACCACGGCGGCAGCTGCTGTTAAGCATGCTACCAGCGCGCGGAAGGAGCTCCGTGTGCTGCGCGAGCTGAGTCCGGGAGAAGTGGACGTCGAGCGCGCTGCCTCCAGTCTGGTCGGAAAACTCGTCGGTCTTGAGATGGTGAGTTCTTCCCCGTATATGTGAATGCCTCTGACTGTTGTTCTAGTATCAAGCTGCATCTGGCGTTTTGCAAGACATGCGAGCTCCTCTCGTCACGCTCTACCGTTCAGACTCTCCGGCTACGGCGACGAACTCTCTGCGCGATCTTCTTTCCCTGCCTCTGCATGATCGTCCAATCTCGGAGCTTCATCTAAGTCTCATCTCAACATATCTTCTACACGCTCTCACACTTGCTCTCCATACAATCACTGATCTGGCTGCGCTTCTCGCAACCCTCCATGACTCCGCACTACCCACACTGCTCGCTTGGGCGCCCGCACTGTCCAGCCTGCCTGACAAGCAGCACGACCACATCTTCACTCGCGCCTTCACCGTCACTTCCCGCTTCGCCTCATCCTCTGGAGCTGCGCCCTCACAGGCTTACTCGCTGCGGACATATTCGTTGCTCTGCCTCGCCTGCACTCGCCCCTCTGTCATCCCGCCCAATACTTTCTGGGAGCAGGCTACTAAGTTCACTGCCACATTCGCCAATGCAGAATCTGTCAAACCCTCAGAGGGCGCTCGGATGGTTCTGGAGGGGACAGCACGGCTCATTGCGCAAACTGAGCGACGGGGCGACTCTCCCGACTTCATGTCAGGCGTCACGTTCGCGCGATTCTGCGAATACTGGGGCAGGTTCGCCAAGCAGGTATGTTCTAAGCTCGAAGCTCCCTTGCGCGATAGTGATGTCTGGTCACCTAGGCTGGCGACTTGCGTACACTAGAACAGATCAGCAGACTAACGTCCGGCGCGAGTAGAGAGGCTTCTACAGCGCAAGATCGCGCCACTATTGAGACATCTGCCCTGTGCACGACGCTCGCCCGCGCGCTCGCTATCCTTGAGAAGTGGCCCGGTAGGTTATGCGTCCCTGAATTAGCAGCGCGCCCCTTCTCACACTGCTTCAGAGCACACAACCGACCTTGTGGACAAGCTCCAGGAGGCGTCTCGGGCTATTGCACGATGCGGTCCATCCTTGACAGAGTCTGGGGAGGACCATGACCGCGTGAAACGAGGCCTCGAGCGATTGCGCCGCGCAGTCGTCAAGATCGTCGAGCCTCCCTCAGGCGCGGAGGCAGACATTCCACTTGAAGTGCGAACATGTGCGCGCGCCATCCTAGAACAAGTCGTCGACGTACTGTGTGAGACGGTAAGGCTTGCTGCATGTGGACATGGACGAGTGCGACTGACACGAGTTCAGAGGCCTGTGTACAACTCAACAATCGTCTCCGGTGGGGTGGAGAGCTTGTTCACTCTCGCGCGCACCGCATTTCTCCTCAACAACCCGGACACATACATGACCGCGCGCACGTATCTGGAGCGCGCCGCGGTGCTCGTCACCCATGCCACCTCGCAGACATCCACACCCGATGCCTCCGAATCGACATCACTCTCGATGGTGCAGTTGGCCAACTACAGGCGGTGCGTCGCCGGCGCGTACTACAACTTCGCCGTGCAGCTGCACCAAAGCAGCCGCCTTGCGCATGCGGTGCCCTTCCTGGAAGAGGCATGTAATCACGCTGAGCGCGCATTGTCCGGATACATGACAGCGTCAAGACAGGCGGGAGAGGAGGGTATGGACGGCGACTCGAAGAAGGAGGTGTGGAAGCAGCTCGAAGAGCAGCTATACAGGCGGTGGGAGTTGCTTGGTATATGCCATGCAAAAACTGGAGACCGCCAGGTGAGCGCAGACGACCATAGCCTTGTCGATTAGTGCTCACGTTCGGGCAGCTCGCATACGAAGCGTTCGTCAAGAGCATCAAAACCTTCCCCTACGCGATCCACGACGTCGCCTCGCTCGCATCCAGAACCCCACCGTCAACGCTCTTCGACAGCACCTCTCCACTCAAGCATCTTGCCTCTCTCCTCGATCGCGTCACCTACATGGCCACCTGTGAACTCTTCCGCTCCCCCTCGACCATCCCCGTCTCCTCCTGGCCCGACTTCGCCATCTCTCTCGAAGACCCGCACGCATCACCAAGCATCCTCGGCGTACTCATGGAGCGCCAGCTCGCGAGTCTCGAAGAGTGCAGGTGGAAGTCGGGCGTGCGGGAAGTGTTGGACGCGATCGCAGACGACGCAGATCAGCTGTATGAGCGCGAGCGCTGGCCGGTAAGGAGATCTAGGGTGCTGGTGCGCAAGTTGGAGCTGGGGTATTATGGCGAGGGAGACGAGGCGCAGTATACGTGGGCGAAGGAGCTCGGGGAGCAGATCGAGGCTTTGCTGGCTCCTGAGGTGCGTGCCCTCATCGCGCAGTGGGATACTCATAGCTAACGAAGCACGCAGAGCATTGAGCAAGACAAAGCCCTCGCGCGCTACGCCCCAGAATATCTCGCATCTACCCATCTGTGGCTCGCAGCGTACGCCCATAGGTCGCGTGACGCTTCGCTTTCTGCTGTGGTCGTCTCGCACGTCGAGGACGCGTGCAGAGTCCTGAAGTCGATGGTGCCTCCGCCAGCTCCGAGGCCCTCGCTAGGGAAGTCGCCAAGGGAGAACCGTGCAGGTCAGGTGGCGGTGGCGGACGCGGAAGTCGTCAAGGGGAGGAAAACAGGACGGACGACGCGAGGCGCTGCGGGTGCGAGTGCTAAGACGCAAGGCGAGCCGGCGAAGGGGAGGACGGCGAGCGGGAGGACACGGACGGCGAGGACTGCTGTCGCGGCGCCTGTGACGCCTAAGAAACGAAGAGGTCGGTCATCCTTGTTTGTTGAGATTGCTCTTCTACAGACGACTAACCCCGGGCGTAGCGTTGGATCCTCTATCCTTGAACACCGCTGTGGTCACCCCGCCGAAGAATTCTGGCTCGGGTTCGAGTGCAATGGGGAAATTGGAGTTCGATGACTTCGAGAGGCTCGTCAAGCTGATCCGTGAGTTTTTCCCGGTGCGGTACGATGCCAGCGGGATATGACTTACCCCGTAATTGTAGGCATGGTCTCTCACCTGGTCGGACTGGTGGGCCACGTACTCGCTCGCGTCCAGCTGCTGAACGCCGCCCGTCGACTCACGGAGCGACACCTCGGAGTTGGCTCAGAAGGTACGCCTGCCCGCAACACGAGTATCTGCCATGCTGATCTCATGCACACGCAGTCTATGTGTCCCTGACCATCGACACGGCGCATGAATATGTCAAGCTCGGACGCACCGAGAAGGCGGTATCAGTCCTTGCGCAC